CAAGAATAATGGAACTAAAATATATTTTGGATAACTGGAATGGTATTAAAAATTTTTTTAAATTAACGGGAAGTACCAATGGAAGAGCCAGGGTGTGGCATATAGTTGGAGATTGCCGATTCCAATTACTCCGAAATTCGAAATATTAAGCAACTCTGAAGCCCTAAGTATGAGCGATGATTTTGAAAGAATATGAGCAGTAGACTAATCTGCCAAACATGGCATTGGTCCAGATACTCATTTTTCGTTCTAAAAAACTATTAGATATACATATCAAGTGAGTCTCGATTCATGATTATTAAAAATCCAACTTTTATTTTAGGCTATAATATACTGAATGAAACTTATATGGAGGAACCGAAAACATTTGATGATTATGATGCTATGGTTAATGAAGCAATACATTATTTGAAACATACACTAGAAAATTCGTTAAACGAGAAATTAATGTTTGTTTAAGAAATTTTATAATTTATTGTATCTCGGACGGCTAATTATCGTAAATCCTCTAATATTACCTTCTGTTTTTCAACTAAGTAAGGTGTGCTTATACTAGAGATTGGAATGTGAGAGTCGTGCGAGAATCGAGATCTCAAAATAATTCGATCTCGATATCCGATATTTTTAATCGAGATCTCGTCTCGGCCGCTCTCTAGCTTATACCAGAGAATGTGGTCTGTAAAAGAGCATGGTCTCTCCTAATGAACCTTTTAAGACATTTAAAGATAAAATAAATATGAATAAAAAAATTAATAATTTAAAGAGATGATTTTGTTAAAAGAGTTGAAGACGCGTTACAAGGACGAACTTTGCGTTATGTTCGCATGATAGGTTTAGGAAGTATGTATGGGCATCTCGATCACTATGATTATGAAGATAATGAAATTGGAAAAACTGAAAGGAAAATTTTAATTGAAAAGTTGGACGATGATTATAAGAAGAAATATTTAAAGTCTTCACAAATTACGGCAATATTTCAATTTGCATTGGGACTTTTGGTATTTTAATAAATTTGATAAGTTAAGAAAAACGAACTGATCCAGAAAATAGCAAATGATTGGATGAAAATTTTCGTAAGATTAAGCCCTTCGGTATCTTAGTGTTCGTGGGATAGCCCAGATTAAGGAGTTGTTCGGGAAGTAACTTCCCATAAGATTATAGACAAGACCGTTATCAAGGTAAAACAGAGTGCTCAAATTTGTGCTTTACTTAGCTTAGATGAAAATCTAATGGATCTCAGTTAGTAAATAACGTCTAGCGATATCACTAGGCGAAGGCGTCTAGTGATAAGGCCCAAGATGTTCAGGATCAGTGCTAGTTCGGTGTTAACCTTAACCCATCTCTCACTGTGCTAATAAATTAAAAATAGATCTAAAGTAATGAGGGTTTTAGGCTATTCAACATTTTAATGATATAAACAACCGAAAATTTGAAGGATCTAAAAAAATTATAGCAACGTTCGAAGACATGCATTTAAATTTAACTTATGAAAAGGAATATTTAAGGGGAAAATACAATATTTTTGGAATAAAACCTGAGAATAAATATATAAATTTAAAAGAAATTCCACAAATTGTTAGTGAGTTGGAAATTGATGAGTCTACATTAATTATAATGATACAGTGTATGGCTTGAATTTTTTTAGTTTTTATCTAGGGTTAGACCCTGACCTTCGATGTTAAGGCAATCGTACTAGGTAAGGGTCACTGTTTTATCAAAAAAGACTGAGTCAGGTGTAGTCGCCTTCTATTTTTTTGATTTGACTCGTCAAATGTAGTTTTCTATTTATAAGTACGTAGCTAAAAATGGTGGCTCTTGAAGGGATCGCGCCGGCATAAGAAATAAACTCTCGATTTCGTGAACTGGGAATTACGGCCCAAAAATTTGGGAATTCACGTTTTCAGAATAAAAGCATGGGCCCCGGGCTTTAGAAATAATCATTCAAAAAAATTTTTAAAGGTCCACCTGAAATGACAATGAATATAATCGACACATATAAGTCAAAAAATATGTTTGGAAGCCTGATACTTGTGGAATCTGCATTGAGCTACCCCGTTGATTTTCTTAACCAATATCGTCAAAGTTTTTCATCGTCCATTTTGGCATTCCCAAAAATTCTATTAAAACAACTCTTTTATTTACCTACAAAAACAAGGATTTACTATAATGTAGTGGCTGAAGAAGAAAAAGAAAATGATCGAGATTAATCATAAAAGTTTATGAAAATGTCATTGAATCTGTTGACAAAAATTTTTCTATGTATTTTTTGTGTTATGTTTGTAATAAAGTTAAATGATTATTAAAGTTAAGTGAGTAAACTGAAGTTCATATCGGGTCATGATTAGCTATATTTTTAGACAGACATACTTTAATAATATTATTAAGTATTTTCTCTTGAAAATATCCACTTAAATCTTAGTTTCCGCATCGAGTTCTACAGAATTCAGACTTTACAGAATTCCACTTTCCGCTTTTCTAGAGATTTTTGAATTTTTTATTTTCAGTCGATTTACAGCTCAAATAGCGGCTATTATTCTGAAAATATTATTGGCACTCCAAACTATGATTTTTCACTGCTGTGCTAAATAAAGAGGAGTTTCATACGTATCTGGCTTACAAATATTTCATCTAAACCTTTGATCCCACGATTTGTTTGCATTTTTGTTTTTGCGCCTTCACCATTTATGTTATTAAAGTGCAGCCGGCCCATCCCCACCGAGCATGGCAGTTTCCATGAATTCTGTTTTTACGTTTAGTTGGCAATCACATGAAAACGCATGCGTCTTGCGATAGAAATAGTATACAGTAAAAAGAGAGACAAAATCGCGTGTATCTTTCCTTCTTTTCTCCTCTTATCTTTTATGTTTATCACAAGAAAACGCAATGCGTCTTGCGATAGAAATAGCATGCCGTATAATGAGAGACAAAATCGCGTGTATCTTTCCTTCTTTTCTCCTCTTATCTTTTATGTTTATCACAAGAAAACGCAATGCGTCTTGCGATAGAAATAGCATGCCGTATAATGAGAGACAAAATCGCGTGTATCTTTCCTTCTTTTCTCCTCTTATCTTTTTTTTTTAAAGACGCACTCGATTTTATAGCAGTAGACATCTTGGCAATTTAGTCAGACAGTCAATTTATAAATTTATAATAGCTATGTGCTTAAGCGAGATTTTATTTAATTTTACGTTAAAACCTTATTTTTAAAAGTTTGTGTTATGTCCTTGAAAGTACTTGTAACCAAGGGATAAGAGAATTCCGCGATAGAGATTCCGCGATATTGTCTAACATTGCACCATATTTCCTTCGACTATGTGAACTTCTTCTTCCGACTTTTTCCCAAATAACTCAACTTTGACTTTGACCTTGCCTTCTATCTTGAAGTTCGATTTGCCTAACCCGACTCCAGAATAATTGACTTGACTAATCTCAGGTTTTCCCAAATCGTTCCAGGTTCTTTCGGTGATACAATTGATTTGTGCAGCCGAATCAACAATCATCTCAACATTTTTGTCATTTATCTTGACTGTCTGTGTGATCCATTTCTCCTTTAGCAGAATCTGCGTCGGATCGACTATATCGGCAATACACACATACGGACCTGAATTATTACGTCAATTGACATATAATTTACTTCTGGGCGACTATTACGATTTAACCAACCTCTAGGGTATCTACAGAATCGGCTAATGTGTCCCCTCTTCCCACAATTATAGCACTCCTTCTGTCCATATTGTGGACGACTTGTCTGACTAAATTGACGATCATTGACTTGACCATGTTGACGTTCTTCTCCTTGACTGAATTGATTCCTTTTGTCCTTTTCGTCTTTACTACTTTTCACATTTTGATTGACCTGAATAGTTTTACTAATATTATTCACCTCCACAGAATATTCAGGTTCAAATCTGACCTTTGACTGGTTATCCGCGAATACCTTTGCATCAGACTTATTTGCCAAATAGCTACGGACTTCCTCCATCAATGCCTTCAATGTGCATACTTCTGACTTTGAATATTTCTCTACGAATCTCAGACTGATTTGCCGGACATCTAACGCTTCCTCTGGAATGCCTGCAATGAATACAAGAATTTTACTTTCTTCGACTGTCAACGCCATTTCCGCCTTTTCACATTCTGCGTTTACTAGAGTTCCAAACTCGAGAATTTTTTCGATGCAAGGGCATTTCATTTTAATGACTTCGAAACGTTTGACTAATTTGGACCGGGGATCACAGAATTCCTTTTTCAACTCCCCGACTAATTCCCCAAAGTCCATCTCAACTAATTCTCTGGGCAATAACTTTTGTGCCATCTTCGAATACTCAACCTGCCCCAACTTATCTACTAACAACCGGACTTTGACTTTTTCCTCTAATGACTTTGCGTCTACCTCGAAGTAAGACTTATTTTTGAGGTACCACGACTCAAAAGTGACCCCCTTTTCAACGTCGGCTTGGAACTCGGTAATCAGCGTCTTCAACTTACAGTACAAATCCGTTGACTGTTTTTCCTCCGACTTTGGCTCCTCTGACTTTTTGCCTTTCATCATCTCCAGCATCTGAGCTTGCAATTCTTGCATCTGTTGTGACTGAGCGATTTGCGACTGCAGGAGTTTCTCAACGACTTGCGGATCCATCTGAATTGACTAATTATTTTACTACTGACTAATACAAACTAACTTGAATGTTCGAATAACTGCGACCGCGCCACTGTTATGTATCGTCTTGCGGTGTGTCCGATACTAACAGAAACAAGACTTGACTAACAACAAAGGTTTATCACAAGCAACAATACAATAGAAATAGGCGAGACTGTGCGTTGGCTTTGACTAGACTATGGGCTAACTGTAGACTGACTAACTAACTAACTCCCAGACTACTAAAAGGCTGCGCCTTTTATACTAAGCTGCCACCCTAACTTTATATCTTAAAAATACTTTGGATTTGGTGGAATATGAGCGTCACAGCCAAACTCATTCAAATTGTAGATACGCCAACATGCATTTAAATCGACGTGGTCTAGAGCGATTGAATCATCATCGAGTTGATTGTTGTCCTAGTAAAATTAAAAGTTCACAAAAACATTCAAAAGTTTTACAAAAAATAAAAACCTCCAGCAATGGAGACAGCTTATTTTTTTTCAACAAAGAATCAAATAGATCCGATCTCCGCATAGTTTCTTGAGGAAAAGTTTTTAAAAAATCACAATTAATAACATAATAAAAAAGATTATAAAATGGACAAAATAATAAAAATGGACAAACAAAAAGAAAAAGTATTATACTACTTAAAATTTAAATATTTATGCAGTCTTTGAAGGTCACATATAAGCAAAAATCTTGGCTCTTGTCCAGTTCATGCGTCCCATGAAAATTTATGCGTCCAATGAAGATTTATGAGTCCCATAAAAATTTATGCGTCCCATGAAATAAATTGAAAAATCTTTTGTTAATCAATTATACTGTTCTTTGTTAATCAAATACGGTATTTCCTAAAGTAATACTCCCCCCCCCTCTGAATTAGTACTCCCCCCTTAAATAATACTCCCCTTTGGAGGAGGGTTGAAAAATAGTACTCCCTCCTGTTTAGCACTCTCCTTAAAATAGTACTCACTTCTAAAATATTTTTCCCCTAGATTTTAAAAAATATTACGAGACTCATTGAATTACTTTATTTATTCTAGCATAAGTAGCGTTGTCGGTTTCACTTGATTCTTCGATAAACAAAACCGAACAGCTTTCGGTTAACCGAAATTTCAACCTAAATCCGATTAATTGATATAATCCGATTAATTGATGGGTAAAAGGGATTTTGGGGAGATAAAGGGATCGATATCGGATGAAAAAATGGGTTCTGGATTGATCAAGTGGGGTTTAAAGGATATTATTGGATTAAGATTTGATAAAGAAATTTGAGGGAATAATTAATATTTATCATATTTGAATATTTTTTCAATTCATTTCATGGGACGCATAAATAATTTTTGGGACGCATAAATTTTTATGGGACGCATAAATTATTTTTGGGACGCATAGATCTTTATGGGACGCATAAATTATTTTTGGGACGCATAAATTTTTATGGGACGCATAAATTATTTTTGGGACGCATAAATTTTTATGGGACTCATAAATTCTCTTGGGACTCATAAATCTTCATGGGACGCATGAACTGGACAAGAGCCAAAATCTTTACGTTTGAAAAAAACAGAAAATTTCTTAAAGAAAATAACAAAAGGAAAACAAAAAAGTAATCACTAGGGTTGTCGGTTCTTGGAAAATCTTCGGATATCCGGAACCGAACCGAAGAACTGAAAAATATAAATATAAATATAAAATTGAAAGAATTTAAAAAAATAAAAATTATATAAGTTCTAATCTTACACACTAAAGTTTTACTAATAAACTTGAATGGTAAAACTTTATTTAAACTTAAAGTTTTGTTAAGAAAAAAATTTTTCTTAATATTTTTTTTTGAAAAATACTAACCAGAAGACTATTGTTGTTATTGTTTTAAAGCAATTGATTTAGACAGTTTACGTATCCATAATGCCCTAACTTCTTCATCCAATGGATGCATAGCAAAACAATAACTGGCAGAATTTCCATTTTTATCAGTGTCCCATATTTCAAATTTTTGATTAGAAAAACGAGAACTTGCAGCAAAACCCAAAGATTCTTTTGGAATACAAAATTTATGTTCAAAATATTTACAGCCTTGTTGAGTTGTTGTCTGTAAACGTTCTTTACATAAAAGAATGCCGCCATCAAAAAGTAATCTTAATTAAATTAAATTTATTTAATTTCCTAAATTTCAAAAAAAATTCACAATTGCATTTCTTGTTCGCCCTTCTTTTTCCCTGAATTCACACCTTTAGCACCTGCACTTTTTGATTTATAAAAAATTGAAACAGTAAATTCTGTTCTAAGTCGGAGAGAGCTTAAGTTTAGAGCACCCTAAAAAATTTTGAAAAATTTTCTCTTCAAAATTAGAAAATTAATTTTTCCTACAGAATAATCAAGTAGCTTTAATTGTTCCATAGAAGCATTTATTTGAGCTAATAATTCCAACATTGAAGTTAAAGCTGTTTGAACATGTTGTAATGATTGTTCAGTTGGGCAATGTTTAATTAATTCTTTTAATAAAAGTTGATATTTCTAAAAAATATTTTTTAATAAAATTGAGATGGGACTTAGATTAAAGAACCTTAGTTATCGAGTTAGAGATTTTTAGAGATATCGATCTCATAGCTTAATTAATTCTCATGACTAGGGTTGGTACCCAGTACGGTTCGAAAGATCGAACCGGGCCCCGAATTTTGGCCCGGTTAGATACACAGTGTACAAGATATATCCAATGCTAAACTGGATGAAATGTCATGTATCTAGTACCTTAGGAATCAATGTCTAAAATACATAGAATTTTTGTTGACTACAGGGTGGAGGAACTATCAAAGCAATACTCTCTATTTAATATAACCTTATTATAAGGTAAAAATTTCATTCTTAAGAGGGTTTCTTATCAGGTTCTACGGGTCAGGATTGGTCGAAATCGGGATTTGGAATAATTACCCCGATCCCGAATCGGAACCTGCAGTGCCCCCTATGGTTTTTCGATATTCGGGGACCTATATCTCGGTTGACAGGGAGTTCCGTGAATAAATAGTGGTATTGTTCGACTCAGCTCGCCGAGACAAATCGAATGGTTGTGTTTCTTATAGAAATTTTGCCTCCGGTATACTATACTAATTCCAAAATTATTCTAAAATTTTTTAACTAATTTCGCATTTTCGCGTTTCGCATCTTTCGCATTTTTCACATTTTTTGGCGCGAAAAGTTTCGCATTCCGCATTTCGCTTTTTATTTTTTTAAAAAAAGTTTCGCATTCCGCATTTCGCTTTTTATTTTTTAATTTCGCCCAGCCCTGGTGACCAGCACTCCTTTGGCAATCCAAAATAAATTTATTTTTATCAACTTTATGTTCTCTGATGAAGTCGTCACTAGTTGGTTTGTTCTTACAATATTGACGATAAAGAGATGAAAATTGTTTTCTTTGAGAAGATAAAACTGTTGAAACGCCTTCTGCATAATTTGAATTTTGGTGAAGGGAAGGGAGAAGAATTGAATGATGAAAATCATGCTGTGAAATTTAGTTAATTTTTTAATTTAATTAAAACTTAAATAAAAAATAAGTGGTAAAGAGGTTTAAGACTGAAAATTTACCAAGACCGTATCAAAAGACTAAAAGTTGACCCCAAACCCAAGACCAAACTCAAGACTAATATTCTGGTCCTATATGAAAATTTTTTTATTTTTAAGCTTGGATAACCATAATTTTTACTTTGAGGAATTATTTAAACATTAGGGACCAATTTGATTGTTCATCGCCGCAGGCGATAATTTGAGTATTATAACGAGAAGAAGGGGTAAATTTACTCTTGTAATTTTCAAATTATATATAGTAAGAATCAAAGAGAAAATCTGAGACCTAAACGTTGACTCCAAATCTAAGCCCGAGAATCCCCAAGAAAGGTCCCACTCTCCCCTTCTTTTACAAAAAAGTTTTTTACCAAATCTCGAATATTTCCAAAAAGTATATTAGACTGTCCTGGTAAAATATTATGTGAATTAGCTGTTCCATTGTTGCTAGTAAACTCAAGAGCCTCTAAAGGTAGAATATAATGATGAATGATTTCAGCCAATTCGCGGACATAAGTGCGCTCTGTACTTAACTAAAAATAAATAAAAAAATAAAATTAGAGAATTATAAATAAATTTTTTAATGTCGAAAATTGTGTGTTATTATATATAGACTTGAGGTTTCTCATAACTTAGGCGGAGGAAATATAAAAAAATTAGAAAATTGTGGATTTTTCGGCTCAAAAAAGAAAATTAAAAAGTTATTGGCCCTCAAAGTTTTGAAATGTCAGAGTCTTTCTATGAGAAAAATTAAAAAAATTTTCTTTAAATTTTCAAGATTATTTCTCAACTAACCAATTCATCAAGAACATAATTCACTTTTCCCCCAACCAAACATTTCTCCATTGGTGGACCAGCAGTAATTGAAGAGGATAAAGATGAACATGATTCTATTGACAATTTTGCACAAGAGGATGGGCTATCGATGGGGGAATAGTTAAGTTTAATCAATTCCTTTTTGTCGTGTTTGCTTGATGAAGCAATAGACTCTCCTCTCCTCTTTCCCTAAAACAATTTAATTTGTAATTTTAATTGTAAGGACAAAAATTTTTTCAAATAAAGTAAAGGATGGTAATAGTCTTCGTAACCCCCCTCCTTTTTCCTTCCTAAAAGTATTAAAAAATGGTCAGTGTCTTAGGTTAGAGAACTCGGCGAGCTGTGTCGAAGGACACCAAAATCGACCCCTGGTCTTAACTTTGGGCCGAGATACAAACCCCCGAAATTTGGAAAATAAAAGGGTGGACCAAGCTTATTTTTTTGGACCACGCTCATTTTTAAACAAATAAAGCTCATTCGAAAGAGCTTGTCGAGCTGATTCGAATGACATCAAAATCAACATAATTGAAAAAGATTTGACAAAGTTATGACATAAAGTAATCCTGTTGTAGTCGTGAGACGCTTTTGCAAAGCTTTGCGCAGGGTTTTTGTATCTCGGCCCAAAGTTAAGACCAGGGGTTGATTTTGGTGCAGCTCGACGAGTTCTATAACCTAAGGCTGACTGACCATTTTTTAATATTTTAGGAAGGAAAAAGGAAAAAAAACTCCTATTACCGTAAAGGAGTCCATAAATTTTTTTTTGGAATTTTCGTTCCGTGACCCTCCTTATGTTAGATGGGTACTTGTGGTTTTTTGGAGATGTACAAAAAGGTATCGATAGAGCTCCAAAAGGTATCAATAGCTTACCATTCAGTACAATTAAGTCCGCAAAAAGCACTTAGGGATAACCCACAAGTACCATTATTGTTAATAAAAACGTAGAGACTAAGTAAAAAAATTGCAAATTTAACAAACTTACAGATTCAGCTCTTTCCACAGAGTATGATCGAGATCGACGTCTTGGAGTTACCTTCTCCAATAAATCCTTAAATGAGCTAGATCTTCTAACCTAAAACAAATTAATTTATAATTCTAATTGTAAGGACAAAAATTTTTTCGGATATAGTGGTGCACCGGAAATAGTGGTGCATCGCCCATTCCTTCCATGGGAAAAATAACGGTGATTGAAAAATAGCCTAAATTTTTTTATTATATTTTTCATCGTAAAGATAAAAGATAGGGAGGTGAGAAATATAAAGATACTAAAAACATTACATCCTAACCTTCGTGTTACTTCAATTTTTTAATTTTATAATAAATTATTGGCTCTATCTTAGGACATGCGTCCCATGAACTTTTATGCGTCCCATGCAAGTTTATGCGTCCCATGAACTTTTATGCGTCCCATGAAAGTATATGCGTCCCAAAAATAGTATAAGCGTCCCTTCAAAGTATATGCGTCCCAAAATTAATATAAACGTAAAACAATTGTAAAAACATTTTTTAATTTTAGTAATGACAAATATTTTATTATAGGTTTCCTTGCTCAAGGGACAACGAGCATTAAATTAATATTTAACATTCATATAGGTGAACTTCTTTTCCCATCTTGGGGGGCTCTTAAAACTAGCTTACGCCACCGTCACGGAACAAATAAAAATATGCTACTTTCTTAGCTATTTCAGTATATGTTTAGAAGATACCATGCAAACAGTAAAATCTTTCAACATTTGATGGAAGATATTTTTTTTATATTAAAATAAAATTTTTTTCTTTTTAAATTCTTTTTTTTTAATTAATTTGGGACGCATATACAATTTTTGGGATGTATATACTTTCATGGGACGCATATAATATTTTTGGGACGCATAAACCTTCATGGGACGCATAAAAGTTCATGGGACGCATAAATGTTCATGGGACGCATGTCCTAAGATAGAGCCAAATTATTTTACAGAACCGAATTTCTTGAGAACGTTAAAAAAGCTTTGCAAGGAAGGAAATTACGTTACGTTCGTTTAATAGGCCCTGGAAGCATGCATGGCCATTCAAATCATTATTTATACAGGGAAGACAAAGGTCGAAATAAAGCTAGAGAAGTATTTTTGTCGTTTTCGGAGAAATACAAAAAATTGTTTATTAAATCTTCACAGATTCGAGCAGTTTATCAATTTGCTGTCCAAATTTTGGTTTGTGAATTAATAGTGCTTAGACACGTTTGGCATTACATCCATAGACAATAGACATTACATCATCCCGTCAAGAATATCATATTTAATATAAATTTAGTACGACCATTTTCCTTAAGTATAAATATGGTGGATAGAACTCGCACAAAAAATTCAAGCTCATTTTGCTTCCAAAATTCTAAGAGAAGCGGTATTGTCCCCGTTTCACGCCCCATTTTTTACGCCTTTTTTAACGTGTAAAAAAAGAAAGAAATTGTTATTTACAACTTATCATTTTTGCTTACACCTTATTTTATTATTTTATCAGTAAAAGAAAGGAGAAGAAAGAAAGGAGTTCTCCTAATTCTCGAGGCCCAACGGTCACGCTTAATTAGTTAGATATTAAAGTAATATTAAATTAACTTTCAGACAATTGAGCATTTTGATAAGCAACAAAATCCAAAAATGGAAGAACTAAAGTTAAAAAATAAAGGGAAAGCCATCGCTTCATCATCTGGATCAAATATTTCTGAAAATAGTATTATTGGAACAGTTGAGGAATTATATATAAATGAAAGCGAAAAAGAATATATTGAAGGAAAATATAAAATTAGTGTAATAATTCCAGAGGTTAAAAAGAATAAAATTTCTACAAATTTAAACAAAATTCCTTCAATTGTTGATAAAATGGAGGTTGATGAAGCAACATTAATTATAATGCTAGAATGTAATTGAAAACTTTATCTAATTATTTTTTAAACAATTTTTAAAATATTTTTTCAAGGTCCATTTGACATGACAAAGGAAATAATAAAAAGTTATAAAAAGGAAAATAAGCTTAAAAACTTGATAATTGTCGAAACTTCCATTGGAAATGAATTTAGACGCAATCCCATTGAAATAATAAATTTTTCGAACGATAATAAACTTGAAATACTTCAAGCTTTTCCACATTCAATTGTAGTAGAAAATCTCCTGGCTGGAGCATTTATTTATTATAATAAACTGGGAGATGATGAATTGGATAAATATATAGTTCCTTCACAAGAAGTAAAGGAGGATGTTAAGGTTGATGTGAAAGAAAAGGTTGAAGATGAGAGGAAAGAAGAAAAGAAGGATGAAGTTAAAGATGAGAATAAGAAGGGAATTAAGGTTGAAAAGGCCGAAGATGTTAGAGCTGAAGCGAAAGAAAAGAATGAAGATGACAAGAAGAAAGAAGGAGAAATGAATGATATTAAAAGTGAAAAGAAGGGAGTTAAGCTTGTAAAGGATGAAGATAACAAGAAGAAAGAAGAAGAAAATAATGGTAATAAAAAAGAAGGGCAGGAAGTTAGTGATAAGAAGAGTGAAGATGTTAAGGTTGAAATCAAGGAAAAGATTGAAGATAAAATGAAGGAAGGAAAGAAGGAAGAAAAGAATGAGGAAATTAAAGATGAGAAAAATAAGGAATCTAAGGATGAACAAAAGGAAAATGATAAGGTGGAAGAGAAGGAGATTGAGGATGAAAAGGAGGAAGAAATGAAGGAGGAAGTTAAAGATAAGAAGATTGAAGTTAATGAAAAAAACAAAGAAAAGGTTGAAGAATAGAAGACGAAAGAATAAAAGGAAGAAGTTAAAGTTTAAAGAAGGGAGATGTGTAAAATGTCATCAATTAATTTTAATTGTGAAAACATATCCAAAATTAATTTTTTTTAATTTTAATTAGTTGGTAGCGTATTCATAAATATTTAAAATAAAATTTATTTTGAAAAGTTTCAGTGAAACGATAGTTGAGAAGTTTCAAACACTTTTAATATTATAACTACGGCTGGGCACTACATGTTGTTACTGTTTAATACAAGTACTTCTAGTTATTGTTTAATACAAATTTTAAAAATATATGTACTGTTTTCAGATTTTGTTCGATGAAATTTTCTAAATAGACATCGATTGATTAGGGTGATATAATTATCTCAGATGTATCATTTGATCTTTAGGATATCGATGGATTATTGGATTTGTAGAAATATTTAGTGTATTAAATGGATATGAAGTGATTATGAGAAATAAGTGATATCGCAGGATTAATGGTGATATCGAGATTTATTCGCCGTAATCACATGATAATTATCCAAATCACCTAATCAACATGTTTATTCGCATTATACTCTAATCAAACAATATCCATCGAATCACCGATATCAATTGAAGACAGTTTTTTATATATAACCTCCATATTTCACTAAAAGATATAAGAGAAAGAGGCAGGTGTATTGTGAATCTCGTAACTAGTCACCTGCCCCCAAGGATGGAATAAGGGATTATTTCATAATACTTATAAACAACTTAATCCTTTATAATGCTGAAATCAACTAATGGAGGTTTCAAAACGATACTAAGAATAAATAACTTTCTCCGTTTGAATAACTAAAAATTTTATCACTAAAATGCGATTGTCATTCTTTATCACTTTTTTTAGAAAATTTCGAGTGTTAATTTTTGACTGTTTTCTTCTTTCCTTTTACCATGCCTTTCATAACTGGCAATTCCATAAACATTTTAACAAAGTTATTTTGATAATCATTAAATTGACTTTTACTTGGTCTGAACGTACGATTCTTAATTAATAATTATTAAAGAGAGGCGCTTACATTTGATCAACCAAAAGTTTTTCTGCTTGTAATAATTTCTCTTCAAAATTATTAATATCAGTTGAAGATAACTTAAATATGTGAAATATAAATAATCTAGGAATATATTAAACGATCTAATTCATGAAAACTTAAATGAGATCCAATACATTAGATCATTATTCAAGAGATATTAATAAGTAGATAGAGAATAATTCCCATCCATTCCGTGCGGAAGTTGTATCGCTGGAAA